CAAATTTTCAACTATGATTCAAAGCTGCAAATTCAGCAACTGAGACGTAACTTCGTAACCTCGCAAACTCGTAACTGCGTAACCTCGTAAATATCCATAGGATATTTGGCAAATATTTGAAGAAACCACCCTTAAGCATGCACTGCGTACTCGAAGCAGTAGCTGTACCGTACAAAGTGCATAACGATGTCCAAATAAAGCCATAAATGTATATTTAATTCTGTCGCATTCTTTCCGTTATTTTCAATCGATTTGTACTGCGTATTCAACGAGGAAGATATAAAAGAATTATTATTGGAATGCATAATTTCTCATGTAAATTGTATGCAAAGATTGCATTGTATTTCCTTGCAAGATCAAACATCTTCTGCTCGATTACAACTAAAGCAAAATTGAAGAAAGAAATTCGAGGATTGCGACGAAATTAAACTAAAACATGGGTTAATCCATTAAAGACAAAGCAATAGTTTATCGCGATATTACGAGTACTCCAATTTCCCTAAGTTTTATAAAATCGTAGAATCTAACTGGAAGAAGTAGCGAGGAGAAATATATTAAACGAATCTTTCGAATTCCTTCTCATAGCCACAATGTTGAAAAGAAAATCCGGGATTAAAAATTGATTTAAGAAAATTACAGATGACGATTGCGTCAATGTAACGTTGGCTCTTACGAGTTGAGCCCTTATTCGATATAAGATATCGGCTCTAATTCGGTCTTTAAAAAACCCTAATCTCCTCTAATATACTCTTAGGCTTATACTCGGCCAAAAAGTCGAAAACTCATCAATAAGATATCATAGGGAAAGCAGTCCGTGTAAGGAGCCAAAGGATATAGGTCCGATCGGGAAGAGTGATGGTCGGCGCTCCGCTTAAATCCATTAGCAGTGACTTTTTCCGCGCGTTGTTGTCCAGGGTGAAGAGGTCGCAGCCGCGGGCAGAAATTGTAGGTAGAGGAGGCGCGAGCAGCAGGTAGAGACGATCGTGTTCTTTGGCCCCTAGGGTGGTCGAACCGGATGGTTATATTCGACCGTAAATGGTGTTACGGATAAAAAAAGAAAGAAAAAAAGGAAGTGGCTTGGGCAGCTCGGTGGCGCGGCAAGAATTCGTGGCCCCGTAAGGTCGCCTCACCCGAGGATCTTCTTGAAAATTCCACGGGTCGGTTTATGGCCGGCATAAATGGACTTATCGTTGCCAAGTGTTCGAACGATGCGGTATCGATCGCACGGTACCGCGCTATTGCTCCGCGTTCCTGCGATTGCTTGAATAATTCATGGCGATTCCTTTTCTTTCCGTCTCGAATGGTTCGCGTTATTGCGGGGCCCCATTAAATGATAATTCCGCGGTGAGCCCGACGATTTGCGTCCGCCGTGTTCACGGAAATTGATAGCGCCGCGATCGCCTAACGGTGGCCTCTTATTTTACTTATACAGAAAGAATCGCACATGATGGAAGAAAGATACGTTTTACATTGCGCTACAGTTCCGTTCATCTGAACTACGATTGTTGCGATGAAATTTTAGTTAACTTAACTCTTGCAAAATGTAACAAATCGAAAGCAAGCGCTGTTAGAACGTGTCGTAACGCACGCTACTAACGAACGATAGAAACATTTACATTTCGTTCGATAACGGTCGAATAGTCGTGAAAAATTGGCTGCCTTGTAAAAGTTGGAGAAAATATATCACGGAGTAAGGCTACTCGTATTCTACGTGTGTATGACGGTTTCAGCGATATATCATTGTGGTACGTCGAAAGCATAAGACGATAATTCACGACGTAAGAAAACGTTGCATCACTCGACGTACACGGGTTTCACCGGCGATTAGTTAAAAGCACGATGTATCCATTACGTAATCTGCCATAGACGAAAATGACTTGTTCAAAAAGTCGGTGTAAACTTTTGAAGAGCATTTGTATAGATTATTCGTGTCTATCGAGCTTACATTTTCCACTCGTTTATTTAAATCTGGCATCGGCCCTGAATCGTTTTATGAATTCCCCTGAATCCGATTAAAAAAACAGATGTTAACACATCGAATATGGGGCATACTTTATTACGCCTTCGTAACTTCGTAACTATAAACTTCGATATCATCTGTTATTTACAGTGTTTTTTTTTTTTCGACAGAATGTTCAATTATTCGCTATAAATTTCGCATAGTAATGTTTAGTTTTTTGATATTTCCGTTTAGTAGCATCATTGGCAAATTTTCAATTTACATAATATCTCTATAGAATATTAATTCTTTGCGAATACGATAAAATAACGAATAATTCGGAATGAAAATAAAACTTGTAATTTCAACGCTTCGATTAAGAACATTCACCACTGTGGCGTTGTGCCAAGAAGTAAGATACAAAATGATGGAGATGCATCGCGAAAAATGATGAGCGGTAGCGTGGCACTTATTGGCACCGCGTAGGCGCGTAATTACTTCCCCGGGAACCGGTAACTCGTCATCAAGTAATTTTGTAGTTTGGAAGCTCCGCAAATCCGTACCAGCAGCCTGCGGCTTCTTTTGCAACATTGCGTATTCCACGTGGAAAAATCAGTGGAATCGATCGCAAACAGCGACAGGCGACTATCCGATTAGAATAATTTTATATTACAAACTGGAATTTACCTTCGCTTTGCTAGAAATAAGCTAATCTCGATACGATCGAAGGTACTGCTAATTTATGTAAAGCATACACCTCGTCTAGAAAGCGCAGAATACTATCGGGTCTTGGATTTCGTGGGAAACTTAGCACATTGCAAACTCTACAATTTACACTCGATTAGGCGGCACGCATAAATTTTGTATGTAAGAGGTATAGACCGTACCATGGGGCAAAATGGGAGGTCTGTTCTGTTGGTCTAGCGGTGCATCGCGAACTAGATGTCTCCGAGCTATCGATAACGTTTTAAGAATATTTCTCTGCTCTTTCCTGTCCGAGGCCGATAGTTTAAGAAATGATGCGGGGGAAGTGAAATTAAATGAACATCTCTTGTTAACATTAACGAAAATCATACTTACTGAAATATTAAATATTCTTAATTGTTTAATACAATTATTTACAGCTCTGTATTATAACCACAATTTTCTATCGATACAATAAAATATTTGCAACGAAATAAATTTTTCAATTTCACGAAATGTTTCTATAGATTAACCCACGATGCATCATCGCGAAGAATAGGAAATATATAAATATAACAACGAAATGGAGAAACTTTTTATAAACAATTTCGAGAAAGTGGTTCCCGAAACGACGGCGAATGAATCAGGCAGGATTGTTTGGAAGAGATTCAAACAGCGACGTTTCACAAACTCCCGTTAACGTATACAACGGGAGTCAGCACGTCAGATTGTTTAGCCGTCGGTCGGAGGGCGAATGGCGAATGGAGATGGCGGAGAAAAAGGAAGCGGCTGGCAAAACTCCGTCGTTAACGAGCCGCACGCTCAATATCCTTATAACTTGCCTGCTCGATAAAAAGACTTCTCCTCTTTTCTTTCAGAGGCGTTCAAGAGAGACAGGGAAAAATATTCAACGAGAGGACACTGAACCCATTTGTCAGCCTCGAAAATAACTCCTTCGCTTTTATGATAAACCATCGTTATGCACCACAGCGGCGGGTATAGTTAACCGGGGAAAAAATATCGTCATGGCTG